GAAATAAGCAACAGTTTAGATGAAAAACCTATTTTTACTGTATTTACAAATGCAGAGTATCACTGATATTTACTTGTAAAATATCCAAAGACAGCATTATTTCAACCTGGACAGATTAACATTGACATACAAGGATGAAATAAGTTATTTGGCGCTGGGACCCGGCAGATGATTGATGCTGTGAATTGACATTCACTTGGATGAGAAACCTAGGAGATGAATTTAAGTATTCTTCCTCCTGGGGTCTTGACACTGCTGGAGGAATAAGTTGGAGGATGAGTGGGACTGAGAGAGGGAGGAGATCAATTGCAACTTTATTTATAAAGCAATTCCCTGGGGACCAAAGTGCTGCACAGTCAACAAAAGCAGGCAAGCTCATATTCAGAGGACCTAAATTAGAACAATTCATCTAGCTATCCATTTTCTGCTTATCCGGGTCGGGTCGCGGGGGTAGCAGCTTCAGTAGGGAGGCCCAGACGTCCCTCTCCCCAACCACTTGGGCCGGTTCCTCCAGGGGAATCCCAAGGCGCTCCCAGGCCAGCTGAGAGACATAGTCCCTCCAGCGTGTCCTAGGCCTCCTCCCGGTTGGACTTGCCCCTAAGACCTCATCATGGAGGCATCCTAAGCAGATGCCCGAGCCACCTCAACTGGCTCCTCTTGATATGGAGGAGCAGCGGCTCTAATCTGAATCCTCCCCGGATCTCTAAGGGAGAGCCCAGACACACTACAGAGAAAACTCATTTCAGCCGCTTGTATCCAGGACCTCATTCTTTCGGTCATGACCCAAAGCTCATGACAATAGATGAGAGTAGGAATTTAGATTGATCGGTAAATCTGCCGGAGAGCTTTGCTTTTTGGCTCAACTCTCTCTTCCTCACAGCGGTGCCGGTACAGTGCACGCTTCACAGCAGACGCCGCACCAATCCGCCTATAGATCTCCTAATCCATCTTCCCCTCATTCGTGATACACAAGATACTTAAACTCCTCCACTAGGGGCAGTACATCCTCCCCAACCCTGAGAAGGCATTCTACGCTTTTCCGGCTCAAGACCATGGTCTTGGATTTGGAGGCACTGATCCTCATCCCTGCCGCTTCACGCTCGGCTGCGAATCGCTCCAGTGAGAGCTGTAGATCAGTGGTCCCCAGCCTTTTTTGCACCACGGACCGCTGTAGGTCAGACAATATTTTCACGGACAAACACAAAAAAATAAAACAACAAGCCGGTCCCATCTAGGCGTAATCGGAGACAATGACACATGAAGTGTGCTCCTGATGTCCAGTCTGCTCCGTATTGTTTTGGTCGTTGTAACCGCAGAAAATCCCGCTTCACAATGATAGGATGTGAAAGATAGGATGAGTCTTGAACTGAATTAACCTGTGTCAAGAGGCACAGATGCACTGACTAATGTAATTGGGAGAAAATACCGCCATTTTTTATATTTTTCAAAATAAAACATCACTCAGACTCTGATCGTCAAAAAATTATATATATATATATACTTTTTTCTTTGCGGTCCGCTACCAAATGACCCACGGGCCGGTACCGTTCCGCGGCCCGGTGGTTGGGGACCGCTGCTGTAGATCACGCCCCAATGAAGCCAATAGAACCACATCATCTGCGAATAACACAGACGCAATCCTAAGGCCACCATAACGGATCCCTTCAACACCTTGGCTTCTGCTCATAAAAGTTATGAACAGAATCGTGACAAAGGGAAGTGACCTAAATACGAACAATTAAAGCATTAAATACATATAACAATTAAAATAACTACAAATGTCTAATAAAATTAAGGTCACAGGCTAACATCAACATCTCATAAAGTGTCGTAAGTGGTGAGTTTTAAGAAGTAATTTAAAAAATCAAACAATAAGGAACACTATGGAAGCTCTTTCCGCAATTTTGGAGCTGAAGTAAGATACCCCCCTATGCCCCTAAGAAGCAGCTGATTGGCTGACCTGGGTCAACCGGAGGATGCAGACAGAGCAAGACCACGAAGAGACTTAAAAACAAAAGACCTTTAAAATAGATCCTAAAATGTGCAGGGAGCCAGTGTAATGAGGCTTAAATGGGGGGAATGCTTTCATGCTTATGAGTGCCGGATAAAAGACGCAGAGCAGCATTTTGCACTCTTTTGAATCAAGCAATGTTGGAGCTACTAACCCCCACATAAAGTGCATTGCAGTAATCCAATCCAGTAGAAATTAAGGCAGAGATTACTGTCTCTAAATGCTCTTTGGAAATAATGGACTTTGTTTTGGCCAACTGCCTTAATTGAAGAAGCAACATCCATTTTGAAACCTTAAGGTTAGTAATAACTTACTTCCTGTTCTGGGCTAGGTAACTTAGGTCAGTGGAGGGAGCATCTGATGTTTAGCTAAAGGTCATGACCTCGGTCTTACTCTAATTTAATTTTAAGAAATGAAGGACCACCGTTTAAGTCTTCAAGGCATTCTAATAGCACGCTAATCGAGTTCTCATCTTTCCTGCGTAGAGAAATGTAAATTTGTCTATCATCAGCATAACTGGAAATAAACCATGCTTCCTCATTATTGAGCCAAAGGGAAGTAGTTAAAGGGTAAAAAGAAGAGGGCCTAAGACTGAGCCCTGTGGTACTCCACACAATAAGGGAACAGATAATTCCTTATTATCACCAAGGGAGACACAGAAGGTTCAGTTTTGATTATTTTAACCAATCAGTTTGTTTATCACTGATGCTGATCAACTGTTCCAAACGAGCGAGTAATATTTTGTGGTCTTCTGTATCAGCAGTCAGGTCCTAGGGAACAAGAATCACAAACCCTCAAGAATCTGTAGCTAAAAAATATAATTTAGAAACCCTTAAAAGAACCGATTCAGAGCTGTATAAAGATTTAAAACCAGATTGGAAACCTTAAAATATCATGCTCTTATAATAAGGCCATCAGTTGATTATAAAGCACCTTTAAAAGAATTGTAGAACTGATGGGAAGCATAGAAATCAACCTATAGTTTGAATTTATTTAAGGATCAAGAGCAGGTTCTTTAGATAAGAGGTCAGACTACTGTTAACAATACACCTGCTTGAAAAATTGAGGAGGAACAGCATCATATGGAAAGCCACCAGGCTTTAAACAGCCAACAATCATTTTGAGAGAAGCCAGAGTCACTGCCTCCAACTGGTTAAACAGAGTAGTAACAGAGGCTCATGGGTCAGAACAGAACAGGAAATAGAAGCTCAAGCTTCTGTGATCTTTTTAACAAAAATATTAAAACACGTTTCACAAAGAGTAGGATGTGCATCAATCACTTTCTTCTTGGGAGCATTTCCAGACGACATGTCAAATACCAAATGTTGAATGTGAAAGTCTTAATATGTATAATAAAGTATTTTATTTTAAAAGTAGGGTATAAACATGGTTCTGAGCTGTAAAGAGTTTTTAAGTTATAGCACAAAACTAAATCTAGTTATCTAAATTGTTGAAACCTAACTTTTCTAAAAAGTTCTCAATATTAACTTCCATCCAAAGTAAAGGTAAACTCATTATTCTGTGTTTGGTGGTTAGAAAGAAAGCGTCAGCTTGTATAAAAGGGGTTTATTCATCTGTTGGAGCAGGAAGTGTTTATTAATATAACCCATGCTCTCTTTAAAATAGCTTTGAATCTGTGTCGTCAGCAGCCAGTGTCGATCTGATAAACATCCGTGCTGAAGTATCAGGATTTTGTTAATAAGACAATAACCCACATGGTTCTTTAAATGTAATAAAGTTACTTTAATAAAGAATGAGTTTGTTTAAATATCAACTATGTACTAATCTTGACCTGGTACCATGGTCTACCATATAATAGTTTTGTTTTATTCTAATGTTTTTACATTTGGAAAAGGCATGAAATGAAATAAAATGGATTAAAACAGCAGTGAAATGATTTTAGTCCAGTTTAAATGGGATTAAAGCCTCTAAACATTCTACACCTGAGTTTTTATTTAGTTATTTTTAGCAGTGTTTGTTTTAAAGTTTTAAAATTTGTTTTATCTTTGTATTTATAAAATGGTTGGCCTTTAATCAACAGATCAAATCTGGCTCTCAATCGGACATTTCTCATGTATTTCCTACCTGAAATTCACAGATTAAATCACAGTAATGCAAATTTTCATGGCTAAATAACTTCCTGATTTAATTATAAGGGAGTTAAAATGTGTTTTAATATGTTAAGGGAGTGTGTCAGGCAGCTATAAGGTTTTTCTGCTTTAGAAAATGTTCATGACTCTTGAGTAGTAATCAATAACTTCAAAGTAATATAAGGATAAGCTTTATTGACTAAATGTATGTGAATAAAATTGGATTATACTTTGGTTTCACATGATAACAACGCGCAAACCATTCTTTATATATTTGTGCAATCCATTATTTATTATATAGCAAAAAAGACATGAGAAAATGGTGCAAACGAGCAATGGTGCAAAATGTGTTCTTTTAAAAGAAAGCTTAGAGAAAAAAAATCCATGTGGTGATTATGTTTTGTAAAATGAGGAAAAGTCCAGTCCAGAATATGTGGGATCTGCAGATCCTGGCCTCAGCTGGTTAGAAACTGACAGTAAAGAATTAAGTTATTCTAACCAGCCTGATGATAAACAACAAAAAACTACATTTAGGGGCTGCTATTGTTTATAGCCTTATGGGTAATCAAATATTAATAAGGGGTGGGATAACCTCTATTGCCTTTTATGCTGAGCCAATAATTTTTATCTTTTTAATCCAGTCTTTTACTCCAATATATGTGTTTTACTCCTGGGAGTTAGTACATTTAAAGGGATTAAATATGGTCAATAGGTTCAATGATATAAACTTTACAAAAACATATTTAAATACCTTATTAAAAGTTGACCTGTGGGTCTCCTGCAAGCTCCCTGGTTGGCTGATTAGCTACACCTCTCAACCAATGAGAGGCCAGGACAGGAGCAGAGGGGCGGGGTCATCTGAGGGAAAAAAAGAGCTCACCTGTAATAGAAAACTGAACCTATACCTTCTCACAGTGATATGAGTGCATCTATTTCTGTCACAACTTGAGCTTTTCCAGTGAGATTTTGTGTTTTGTTTTTCACTTAGATGTTGATAACATTAGCATGAGATTTACCGGAAAAAGACTCCCTCCTGAGTTATATTTTACATTAGTTAATTTTCTGATTTCTGTTTAGTGTCGGGACAATGCCTCCTGTTGCAAATATAAAGTCGCACTTTATCATTTCTGCGGATGTTTCCAGGCCCTTCTGCAAATACGCCATCATTGCTTTCAATATCATCTATTTGGTAAGTTTGAATCAATTATGAAAAAATAAGATACAGGTTTATATATAAGGCAAGATGCGTAAAGCCTGATAACATAACAAACTGGACAATAGGTCATTGGTGCATAATAAATTAGAATATCATTGGAAAGTAAATTCGATACAAAAGGAAAAATTGTATTTATTATTTATTTATTTATTTAGTTATTTATTTATTTAGTTATTTATTTATTTATTTATTTATGATATATTTATTATAGACTGTGATACTCTATACATGTTTGTCTGAAAAAACAGAATATAGTGAAAAAGTTGATAATTCTTGCTCCTTATTTTAGAAAGTTAAACTCATATATAGATTCATTATACTAAGAAGGAAATATGTTAGCTTGCTCTCTTATAATTTTGGTGTTAAAGATAATTAAAACCCCAAATTTGTGTGTCAAAAATTTTGTATAGAAAAAAACATTCTGGAAACTGACAACCTGATTAGTATTGTTTAGTATATATTGTCAGTATTGTTTCTGGTTCTGCATTAGGGGACCCAACTGTCCTCCATGTTTTAGAAGTATGTCAGCTCCAGCATCATTCATCAGCAGCCATTAAAGTATAGAGTGAATTTTGTTCCATTATTGTTGCAAGCCAGGAAGACTTTATGTAAATGGAAAATTTGAAAGATGAAACACATTTTGCAGTCCATTAAACTTTGAAAAAGTTTTAATCCACATTTTTTTAGAGAAACTGCCTTTATTTTTTAGAAAAAAAATAAAAATATATGTTTTGAATTTATTTTCCACTTAATATTTCTAAAATTCTATAACATTTTTTATTTTATTTTATTTTTTCAATTGTATTTTTTTAAATCAAATTTTCATAATAATTTTTCAAAAACTGTCTTTTAATTGGGTTTTACAATTTAAATTTTTTCAAATTACTTTAAACTGATCACCTTTTCTTCACTTCTGGGGGCCGGATTTCCTCTGGAGTCAGGAGCGAAGACACATTTTATATATGTTTGTAATGGGCTTGAAGTGAAGAGGATGTGACCTGCAAAACACCATTAAGAAAGAAGATATTTTGTAAATCTGAAAAAGAGAAACTTGGAGAAAAAAAATAGAAAATAGAAAATGTGTAAACTTTTATTTAAACAAAAAAATAAAAAACATGAAAAAAAATAACATTTGAAAATAAAAATCTATAAAAGAAAAACACTTTTTTTTCTATTAAAATGCTTTTCAAAGTATTATTTCTGAACTGCATCTACTCAATTTTTTATTTACATAATGTGTTTTCTTTTTCAGCCTCTTTACAAAATGTGTTTTTTTTTTTTGCTTGCAACAATAATGGAACAAAATTCACTCCATACTTGTGATGCAGTAGCTGCAGTTAATCACCCATTTTTCTAAAGAATGATTTGTGGAAGAAGGTAAAAACCTAAAATTTGCAGGACTGTATTTAAAAAACACTGATCTAAATGGACTTTTATTCTGGCTACACAATCGAGGAGCAACCAAGCAACAGAGGAGGATGCTGCCTTGAGAGGATTTTTAAAGCGGAATCTATTTTAGAACTCAGGGCAGCCTCACAGCAAGAGTCGCTAAACACAGATGAGCCCTACAGATGAGCTACAGATGTCCGATTGGAGTCATTTCTGAACCAAGTGGTCTGTTGTTCAGAGGGCTGTGGTTTGACTTTCAGATGCAAATAAACTTAACATTTCATTTAGAAATCGATGCCCCAGAGTTTAGCGGAAGCTCAAAGGACAGAACGCACCTTTCTAAAAGCCATAAGAGTTTTCCTTTCACACAACTTACCATTAATAACTAGGATACAGAACTTTTATGTGCCAGAAATCACCTCCTTGACAGTTTAGTGTCAAAAATCCTCTTTAAAATCAACTCATTCTTAGAGACATAATAGATTTTCTATCAGCCATGTTGGTTCAAAATTCATGCTTTAAATTTCTATTTCCATTAGTTAAGTTTCTATAATTAAACTGTATCTGATAAAAGTTGAGATTCTGATGATGGTCTAGTTTTTTGAGACCCAAAGATGTAAAATTAGATGATTTACCTTATTTTATTTGATTATTTTGCAGGTAGCAGGGTTTACATCATTGGTGCTCGGTTTGTGGCTGAGTTACCATGACAACAACAGTGATGTTTCTGATCTGACATCCGACAATGACAAAGAAGCCATTGAGTTAAAGGTGTTTAACAAAGGTTGGTAAATAAGTTAGCAATAAACATGGAGCCTCTCAGTATCTGAGAAATTTGCATTAGATTAAAATTATTTCCTGTTTTCTCTCTGATCAGCTGTTTACTTCCTGGTAACTCTGGGCTCTATTATGGCGGCTGTGGGGATATTTGGAGAGTATGCTGCCTGTATTGAAGGCAAAATTGCTCTGCGAGTGGTGAGTTGTTGTTTTTTTATAAAGCCCATGCTGCTTAATAAATCCTAACAGATTACTTTCCATCCTGGTATCAAAATTGATAAAGCTACAAAAATAAAAACCATAATTCACAAATTCTCATAAAATAAAATAGATCAAACACACATTAGATTCAGAATGCCTTTATTCGTCACTGTAGAAAGCGTGACTGAATGTATTGATTTGTTTAAGTTATTATTTCTTTATTTTTTATTCATGAAAGAGAAAACAACATAACAAAACCCCTGCAGGTGAAATCATGAATGAAAAGGAGAAGAGAGAATTAAAATAAATGTACTATCTGCACCCATTTTCAATAAAATATTATTTATTCAACTCAAGATAATTACAACCATATTAAATAAATTAAAATACAATAGTTCCATCATCTCATCAACAGTCGGTTTGAACGGTTGCATTTTATTTAATCAGAAGGCGTTTTTTTCTTGAAATTATAAAATGGAAAAAAAGGTAAGAATGACAAAAATATTTGAATGAGAATCCAAATATTAACTACGGTAGAGGATTAGGGCCACTGGAAAAAAAAAAAAAAGTTTACTGATTTTGAAATCAGTTTAGTATGGGAAAAAAGTCAGAATTCTGACTTTAATCTCAGAATTCTGACTTTTTTCTCAGAATTCTGACTTTTTTTGTCAGAATTCGGACTTGAATTCTGACTTTTTTCTCAGAATTTTGACTTTATCCTTAAAATTCTGACTTTTTTTAGAATTCTGACTTTAATCTCAGAATTTTGGATCTTAATGTAGATGGGCACCATGAAGGAAGAGATGTGGGAGCATTAAGCTTCATTGACAAAGATGTGAGTTGTTTGAGAGGACCAGTGACACATTGGTGGAAAATGACGGAATTAGGCAACTTTTCACGTGCCCGGGGGGTCCCCTCATTAATCGAGGAGCAGAAGGTCATTAAAACAAGAGAGCTAGTCTCTAAAACAGACATGGCTATGGCTTGATGCTAACATGTTTGTTATCTGTCAGAATTCTGAGAAAAAAGTAAAAATTCTGAGATTAAAGTCAGAATTCTGTGAAAAAATGTCAGGATTCTGAGATTAAAGTCAGAATTCTGAGATTAAAGTCAGAATTCTGACTTTTTTCCCATACTAAACTGAAATAAAATTAAAAAATCAGTTAACTTTTTTTTTTCAGAGGCCCTAATCCTCTTCCGTAATTAACACTTTACCTATTAACTGAAAAATTTATTAATTCATAACCTTCATCTGCAGACTGAGATATTGTTTTGGATCAACTTAGATCCAAATGTTCTTCCAGAACATTGTTCATTATGAAAAGTGTTTCCTACTCAGACTTTAGAGGGTTAATATCACTACAGTAACAACATTTATCTTTATGATCAAAAGCTGGTGGAACCGACTCAAACTGCAAACTAAAGGCGGTGTGTTTGAATAAAAATAAATAAAAAAATAACTTGGTGAGGTCATGAGAACACTGCATGAGACATCAACTCCAATAGACGGATTAGATGAGAGGACTTTTAATGAAAAGGAACACTTTTTCTTTAAATCTTCCTGTATTCACTGATTCCTTTTGTAGTTTCAGACTTTCATGCGATTTCTCCGTCTCTCTCCAGTTTACTGTCCTTCTGTTCCTCTTGGCTGCAGCTAAAATCACCACTGGAGCGCTTGCTTACATCTACCGGGATGAGGTAAACGGAAACACATAATCTGGTTAGATTAGATATTTCTTATTCCTAATGTGATTACATTTCATTGATAAGGCTGGAAAGATGCTTGGAGATCTATACGTTGATGTTTATAAGCTCTATGTGAAGAATGAAGAGGGAGCCATGGCTGTCACTCTTGGATTCTTCCACAGCATGGTAAGCATCTCCTATATCACACCTAGGCCTCATTTACTTTCACTTACGGCTGCAGAGTGTTGCAGCGTGTTTGTCTTTACTTTTCAACGTGCGTCACTGTATAACCTGCACCCGAGTAACATTTACAAAGATTTGTATTTAATTTGTAAACAAAGTAGATGTAAAATAAAGGGGAAATATTTGGTGTAATATCCAAATCTGATGGAGGCTCCTCAGTGATGCAGTGGGTAGCACTGCTGCCTTGCAGCAAGAAGGTTCCGGGTTTGATTCCCGGGCATGCATGGAGTTTGTATGTTCTCCCTGAGCATGCACGGGTTCTCTCTAGGTATTCTGACGTCCTTCCACAGTCCAAAAACATGACTGTTTTTTGAAGTTAATTGGCTTCTCTAAATTCTCCTTAGGTGTGAGTGTAAAGGATTGTCTGTCTCTGTGTTGCCCTGTGATGGACTGGTGACCTGTCCAGGGTGGACCCCACCTCTCACCCATAGACACCTGGAGATAGGCAACAACACCCCTCATGACCCCACTTGGGATTAAGTGTGTAAGAAAATGGATTGATGGATGCAAATCTGATAAATAAAATAATTTCCACATGCTGTGTTCTATAAAGCTTCAGCTCAGATGGTGAATCCAAATAAAAATCAGATATTAACTGTAATATAAAAAACAACTTTTTTTCTTCTGCTTTACAAATATGTTGGTGTAGATAAAGGGTCTTCAGCCTGTACAAAGATACTTATTCTCACAAAATAAGTTAGAGCCTCAAAATACAAAATAAAAAGAAGACAAGTAAAGGAAGTTTGCTATTGTGTTTCCAGTTTCTAGATTTAAAATAGAAATTATACTTAAGAGAGGGGCAACTCAAGAAAATAAAGGGGCCAAATCCTAGATCTGAATTAATGAAATATTCTCATCAAGTGCTTTGTTCTTTGCAAAGTTGAATGTGCCGATTACAAAATCACACAAAAATCATGAATAAAATAAAATTTTAAAGCAATGGAACCTGCTCTCATCTGTAAAGAGCACAGGGCGCTAGTTGAGAATTAGCCAATTGTGGTTTTCTCTGGCAAATGGAAAGTGTCCTGCAGGGTGTTGGGCTGTAAGCACAACCCCCATTTGTGGACGTCGGGCCCTCATACCATCCTCATGGAGTCTGTTTCCAACCATTTGTGCCGACAGATGCGCATTTGTGGCCTGCTGGAGGTCATTTAGCAGAGCTCTGGCAGTGCTCCTCCTGTTCCTCCTTAAACAAAGGCAGAGGTAGCGGTCCTGCTGCTGGGTCGTTTCCCTCCTTACAGCCTTCGCAACATCTCCTGGTGTACTGGCCTGTCTCCTGGTAGCTCTACCTAAGACACTTCTGTGGGTTGTAGAGTCCATCATTTAGTTTGCTCAAATTCAGTGCAGATTATTTAAAAAGAAAACAAAACAAAAAAAGAAAATCAGAAAATCGCTAAAAAATATCTCCTTTTTTTTTTTTAAACATAATTTTTTCCAATAACTTTAAACCAAATTTATTAGGCACCATTTTTTCTGGAGTCTTGGCTCGTAGATGAGACCATACTGATAAAAATCATCATAGGTTGTGGTTGCATTGTGACTAAATGTGAAAAAGGTTCCAGTGGTGTTTTTTTAGGCGTTGTTTTTTAACCAAAACCCAGCTAGTCCCACTGTTTGGGTCACACTTGAGTATAACAGCAGCTTTAATTCAACCTTGTTCTGCATCCTGGTCTTACAGGAGACCACAGGCAGTCAGATGATTCTAGTGTGGATATTAAAAGTTCAAACAATGCACATAAGCTCCAAATTCTTCCCTTTCAAATTTCCATTTCACCAAATCCTTCAAATGATTTCTCATATAGTTTTGGAAATGGATTAACTTCTGTTTAAAATACGTTTTTCATTTTGAGGCATTTAAGATGATTTCTATGTTTTTAAATAACTAAAGGAATCAATCATTTATAGTTGCTGAGCTGCTTTTGTTTCCATGTTTCCACTGGTATTTCCATGATTTATCTGATGATGATACCCTACATGCTGTAAAGATTGGGGAGCCTACTTAGCAGCACCCTAATCTTTATCCTCATTAAGATTCATGTTGGGACTCAGAACCACTTTAAACATCTTGGTGGAATTAAAGTTTGGCTGTCAGGAATATATGACCCTATGTGACTCCATGAAAGATCAAAAGTAACAGCCAAAGAAAATTAGATATCTTCTAAAAATTCCAGTTAAATATTAAAGGATTTATTAAAAATGTTGTGTTAAATATTCTCTGATGGTCCTCTTCTGTTCTCTACAGCTCCACTGCTGCGGATGTAGTGAAGACCCCCTAACAGAGCTGGTTAGGAAGACGTGCCCAAAAGTGGATACCAGAGGACAAGATTATACCGACGTAAGTTGGGGTTTGATCAAAGAAATCAATTATAGCATGAGCGTAGGTTTGCATAGGGACCATAGGGACATATCCCTACCAAAATCTTGGACCGACCTACTTGTCCCTACCAACAATTGGATGTGAACAATATGTTTATAATTTACAGCAGTAGTTGTTGCAGCAGTGGCTTCTTTTCCTCTCGCAGCTCCTCTGCCTGGTAGCTGCAGCTGCCTGGTCTTTCCTTTAACTTTCACATAGCAGCGTATGGAACTCTGCTGCGCTGTTTTTCTCTCTGATTTTTCTGCCTTAAGTTCCTCCTTCTCTCTTACTGATTGTTTTCTACTCTGTATGTGTGCACGAGTGCGTTCTTGGAGCGCAAAAAACAATAAATGACGCTAGAATACGGCGGTTTTCAATAGGCTATGACAGCAGTACAATTAAAAAAACTAAATATCTAAGCTGAAACAGGGGAAAGCTTATGATTGCAGATCTGTAAAGAAGCAAGAGAGAGTTTTGATTTCTGGAACTTGAGAAATGAAAATTACCAACGTTAGGATCTAGTTACACAGAGTAACTACAGCCTAGATGTATAAATTGTATAGTGTATTATTTTTAATGCTCAGTGTCAGTTCCTCTTATAGTTCCAGTGCACATGTAAATACATTTATTTACCTTCCCTTGAATGCATTAATTTGCATGATACAGAGAGAGCATATTAGATAAAAAAAAAATAAGAGTGGGGTTTACCTCCGTTTACCTCTGCCCAATTCTATATCTTCAAAAGAAAACTCAGGATAAATCCGCATGTAGCTGACAGACTATATTTGGTTAAATAGGTACGTATTTACCTACTGTCTTAGTTGGTGGTAAGTTTAAATGCAAACCTTTTCAAAGTGGGAAAGAGTCCTAATTCCACATTCATCAGAGCCAGTGATGCTTTAAACATTGATAAAAAGCATGTAGTGTGTTTAGTGCTTATAAGATTTGTATTTTTGTAGCAAGAAATGCTGTTCTCTTAAAAAAAAAAGTGCCCTGATGCTGAAATTAAGCATAAAAGAGCATCAATATTTTTGCAAAGGCACAATGAAACTGAAGATCAATAGTGTCCCTACCAAAGTTATTTCAACAAACAGAAAAAATAGATTAAATCCTAAAATGTTTTAGGTATTGCTTGTTCTACCTTTATGCAAAATATAGCAAAACCTCAGCTATTCAATTATTAAAGATTAAAAAAGATCTTCTGATCTCTGTCCGGCTGTAGTGTGGACTTGCATGGCAGGTAGGGACGCTTTCCTGTCCAATAAGTCGGGATAGATCGAATGAACATCTCTGCGTTACAGTAACAGTTTAACTCCACTGACAGTTTGCCTTTAGTGAAATACCAGTGCAGCACAAAGAGCTTGTCTTTTTCTCATATTTGGATAAATTTCAGACTTAACATTAAAAATGCATTCGATTGCATGGATCATAATTATTCACTCTCCAATATCTGTGGGCTCCTGTAGATGACTCACCTTTTCTGATGTTTTTTCTCATCTCAGATTACAGCTGAAATATTTGACAGATTCAGGATTTGATGCTGAAAATGACACAATAGGCAGGGATGTAACCCAAACCTTATTTTGAATCCCACTCCTCTCGCTTCCTCAAACGGGACCCAATAATCAAACAGGATAATCTGAAGCACATCAGCAACTTAACCTCTGAATTGCTCAAATAAAACCAACATTAAGATTTTAGGTCTGGCTTACAGTTAAATCCTTAACTTTAATCTGATAGGTGATAGAAAACACTGGTGAGTCATTGCTGCTTATTTATCAGATCAATTTTGCATAATTTCTATTCCATTTGTCTCATGTTTGACCAAAAACAGCAGAAATTTGTAAGTAAATGTTTTTAGAATAACTTCCATTTTTATAACTACTTTAGATTTATTCACCATCTTGTTGCCATACATAACCAGACATCTACAGGGAGAACAAACTACTATTATCCTGAAAAATTTGAACGTTTAGAGCTAACAGCTTCTGCTTTTAACAGGACTGCCCAAAGGAGATGGAAATATTCTTCAATAATAAAGCAGCTGTGGTGCTTGGCCTCTTCGTTGGAACCGCAGCTTTTTTGGTAGGCAAATGCAGCACAGTTGTTTGCAGATGGAAATAACATTGCACCTTTAAAAAAAAAACATGAATGGCTAACTGTTTATGTTAAATATATCAAATGTGTTTATCCCCCCCCCCCCCCCCAAATGATTCAATTTGCTTTTGTGAGTACATGAATGTTCTTTCCTGACCTCAATTAACCATTTTCCCCCATTTTTCCTTCCCAAAGATCGGAGAAATGATTTGCAGCGGATGGTTCAGTTCAAAGGTTCATCAGGATTCTTAAGCTCCTCAAACTATTCAGACTTTCTGCATGTTGACCTTGGATCCTCCTCAGCCATTATAGCAAAGCTTCTAATCAGGACGAGAAAGTCTCCATGCCACTTTCTGCAGCCCTGTCATCTTAGTTTGTCCTTATTCCACATCCATGACAAATTTGCATCTCCAAGCAGAAGTCCAGATGCAGCCTGCTGCAGTCATGGCCAAAGTGTTGACAATTACTTGAGTTATGTTTGGCACTTTGCATGTTTAGCATCACAACACCTGAAATAACAGTTTTCTGGAGGTTGAACAGAAGGCGGCTTCAGGATGTCCAGATGTTTCCAACAGTTAAACAAAAACCAGCTAAAGGATAACGGCGCCACCTTGCCCTGAATGTTACAGCAGCGAGATGGCAGCTTGTGTAAAGGGTTAATTTCTTCCGGGCACAGTCGGTTGGTGATCTTCACACAGCTTTTAAAACACTTTTTTCCCCAAACTCACTTTTAGCTCTCTAACCTCTAGGTGTACATTTAGAACATAAAGTTTGTAAAACATTTTTAACTGATGGGTTTACTTCTTTAGAATCAGAAAAAAAGTGGTTCCAGGATAATTAAATGCATGCAAAAAATTCAGAATTTTATGAATTATGCTGTATAGTTTGTACAGTCCATGTGTAAAGAAAAACAGATTTAAATAAGGGAAGAAAGATCAGAAACATCAGTAGAACGTGTGGTAGTTTAAGGATACAAATGATGTAGGATACTTATGGAAGCCCGTTTCCGCCACTCTGTAAAAAAAAAAAAAAAAAAAAAACTATCTCAATATAATGAGATACTATCTCAATATAATGAGATAGTATCTCAATATAATGAGATAGTATCTCAATATAATGAGATAGTATCTCAATATAATGAGATAGTATCTCATTATATTGAGATAGTATCTCATTATATTGAGATAGTATCTCATTATATTGAGATAGTATCTCATTATATTGAGATAGTATCTCATTATATTGAGATAGTATCTCATTATATTGAGATAGTATCTCATTATATTGAGATAGTATCTCATTATATTGAGATAGTATCTCATTATATTGAGATAGTTTTTTTTTTTTTTTTTACAGAGTGGCGGAAACGGGCTTCCATGATACTAGAAAAGGTAAAATGAGGAAATGAAGGTTGATACTAGAAAAAGGTAGGACATCAATATTAAAATTTAACAGAATCTCATCATCACAGTTGGGAGTTGGACAAATTTTCACTCCAGCGTTTAGTTGGTGGGCGGCTGCCACTTAGGGGAATAACACTGATTGCGAAAATTCATGTTGCACTTAACAGTAATTCTTTTTAAAATTGACTGTGGATAGAAAAGCTTTGAAGGTAATGAAGACAAAACCCTGAAGAGAAACTTTTACATGTAGGTTAATAGTCTTTCCCAGTAACTGTAGAACATGGATCTAAATATGCATTTTACTGGAAATAATGTTAGCCATTGGAGGCAAAACCAAGGATTAAGCATAAGAGTAGATTATTAATTTTAAAGATGTGTAATAAAAAGGAGGATTCAAGTTTTTAACCTTAATAAATCAACCGACAGAATGTTTTTATTTCAACCTTTAACTTCCTGACAACCTTTCCAGGTATTTGTATCTTTTATGAGGCTTTTCTTTCATGTTGCTCAAAATTGTTTTACTTTATAATAAAACTGAAGGATGTTTGTCACAGCAGGGATCAAACTGAAGAAGCACTTTTCCGTTCTTTAAAAAAAAAAAAAAAAAAAAAAGTTTGTGTCATTTCATTAAAACAGTACTTGATTTTGTTTGTAAGGGTGAGAGGATCATCCAGGAAGGTTGATTTATTTTATTTTTTTTCCTAGCAGTTCAGACAGTCAAACTGGTTGCTCAAACCATTTAATTGGTTTTGAGGTTGTGTATATAAAATTTGTTGGTTTAAGTTCTGGTTTTATCCAAACCAAAGTCAGAATGTGCTCGGCTGTTCAAGGTAATTTAGAAAATTAAATGACCTTATGTAATCAGATTTTTTCTGGAAAAAAATAAAGACATCTCAGTCTGGATTAAAATAAACCTCAAAAACAAGTTGCAGATTTGCAGGTGTCTTTATTTTATGGATTTACATCAGTGTTGGGACCTGTGAAGATAAAAGTCATGCTACATTAGTCTTCCTAACAAATACACAGTAAAAAACAAAACAAACTGAACGATAAAAAGCTCTTAAAGCACTAATGAGCGTTAATGAGAAAGGGTGATTTCATTAAAACTGCATAAAACCGTATAGTCTGATAAATGGCTCTCAGGATGCTGAAATAATGTGTAAAACTAATTTCAAATAAGATCAGAAAACATCCTTACTTTTTAAATTTACTAGTGTTGGATGAAAAATAAATGAAATTACCATATAAGCTGAATTCAGATTAACATCTATAAAGAGATTTTACGGAAATCAAAGGAAATATAATAGACTGGCAAATTGTAATCCTTGCTAGAGTGGCTCAGATCTTAGTTTCAGGAAGTTTTGTCAAACTTAAAAGATTGGAGGGGCAGCCTGTCCATCCATTAAATTTCCCCAAATAAACTAGAACAAAATAGAAATTGTACACAAAATAAGCTCTTCCACCATCTAAAATCTTCCCCTCAAGATTGAAAACAAACAAAAAAAAAACATTTAAACCCCTTCCTAACCATTTGACGCGTCTTTACAAAGACTGTCCATGTCAAGGTGTCCAATAGTAAAAAAAAAAAAACATACATTAGTAAAAAGGATCTTAAGATTTAATTTATATCTCAGATCTTACCTTTGTTGCAGCTCACACCACATTGACCATAAACAGTTGAGCAAAGTTCTATATGGCACAAGAAGTAGACCTGAAATGGATAAAAAGAAGTTTTACAGCATCATAATGGTATTTGTGTTTTACAAAGATATAAACCTCCTTCAAGTTTATGAAAAAAATAATTTCCACCAGTAAAAAAAACAAAAAGGTCACTGTGCAACATCTGTAGGAGGTGATTTCCCTGATCTGTACATGATCTGCAGACCTTCCATGTTTAGATCAACTTTTTGGGTTTGGGATTTGTTATAGTGGGAAAACAGCTGCAATTCCCCATCATCAGCATTAGCCTATAACCCAGCATCTAAAGCAGCTACAGGGAAAGAAACCTAAAAATGCTGATCAGCAGGTTCATGGATGAGGAGAACCCAACCAGCAGCTTCTCTGCATTTAACAGCCACAGTGACTCCTCCCTGCCCCAATTAAACACGAACTTCAACTTTCCAGTCAGTTTCTTAACAGTTTTAAGGTGAACAAGGCCCAAAGAAGACTGTCAGCTCGTACCTCTGGATCCTCTGGTGCAGCTGGCCCTCCATGACCCATGTGGGTGGAGCTAGCTGGAGGCAGAGCAGGGAAGCTGGAAACCCTCAGCCTCCAGATGTGCTGAGGGTTTGGTGATGGAAGTTGCTGCCAAACAGTCTGGCTGCTACAACTGAACACAAAACACTGATTAATATTAAGAGCAAAGTCCTAAATATGGAAGATATATCACTCTATTAAAGTAGTAACAATAACTAAGGCAAACGGATTCAGGGCCACTGGAAGTACTTTGAACAGCGGGTGCTGTGAAATTTATTTTGTTTTTAATGGACCTATGAGCCTATAGGCCTATTTAAAAAATAAAAATAAAGTAAACAGATTGAGATTCACTACTTTGTCTTATGCACTTCAGTGCAACCAGGGTCTGTAACACACAGAAATCATTATGTAATATGTAATACGATGACATGCTCATTGTCAAGCATTTTTTTGTTACTGCTAAAAAAGACCTATTGTTTTTGAGAGGAAAAATGACCGAGTCATGTTTGAACTGATGCAGCTTGGGGTGTATTTTACTCACACTATAATTTCAGAAACTAAAGAATATTAGCTTTGAGATGATGCATCACATGTAATTTGGGCTTACAGTTCCTTAGTCATTTGCTTTTCCTTTCAGATATGCAAAAAGGCAAGGGATACTTAAAATTAGATTAAATTTTTCTCCTCCCCCCACACACACCACACACCCACCCACCACACACACACACACCCACACACAAAATGGCGAAAACTACCCCAGTATGGGCCAATAGCAGCAGTAAGCATGGGCATTTATTCCATCATTAATCACTAGCAGGATGAATTTCTTCTCATACAAATTTTTATTTATCGTCCAAACAGATTCTGGTTAATTTGGTTTAAAGATTTTTTAATTACCTTTCTCCTTGACACCCCCCTTTCAAATGAAGCATTGATTAACTAGTAGAACTTTATTAAATGCAGTTACAGTGTACAGTTAGTGATGAAAATGCCATTTCTTTATTAAGCTAGTGTCATTAAAAAGTCAATTTTATATGGTTTATTTTTCAGAAGAGGCATTTGTATTCGTTGGTCTAACATAGCTGTGACGTGTTACAGCCATATAGTTATCCAAAGAAGGCATTAAAATGTAATAGCTTTTTTTCCCCACCTTACTTTTATAGTTATTACAATTTCATCCATTACTAACACCGTTTTTTTCCCATTCCTAACCAAATCTAAGTGATAGCAGGAATGGGAGGAGGAGCCAAGTCTTGGACATGCTTTGAAATGGGTTCAAAATATTCAGTATTTTTTGATAAAGTAAAAACAATTCCATTTATTAATCTGATAAATCCAAACAATTCCAGGGAAAGCCCCAAGTCCAGCTCTTCTTGACCAAAGCAGAAAAATATTCTTTGACTTTTCACTCTATTGAAACCCCTGACACCTTCATTTTTTATTTTACTTTATAGTACAAAAAATATTTTAAAATGTATTATTTCACTGATTCACATTAGTTAATTTTTTTCAGATAAAAAAACTGTTTAAAAAAAAAAGGAATTAAAGCTAAACTTTTTGACTCCACACACATTCTGCCAGTGAGGAAAAAAAAAGGCTGCAAATAGTAATGAAATATGTTGGAAAGCTCAGTCAGACTGCAAACAAAGAGACCACATACAAGAGGAAGTTGACAGCATCTACAGAACCAACCTATTATAGAATAGTATCCAGTTGACCTCTGGAGTTAAAGTGTAGGCCAGGCAGGAGTGGACCAGCAGAACCAGGGTGGGATCTGTGGGTTTCAGCACTCTCAGTTCCACATGAACTGGTTTACCCTGCGTGAAGCTGAGGGGGAGGTGAGGCCGGGGGAAGAACCTGTCGAAGGACGCATCTAGAAGATAAAAAGTTCAAAGTGAAGATGGTAGAAAGGGGGATGGTCGACCATTAGATTACGATGAAGCACAGAGAAAGACAAAAGCAAAGATGTAATAAAAAGAACAGATTAAAAAAAGGAAAGAAAAAAACACCTGTTGCAATTCTCAGGATCACAGCAACAGCAGCTGGTGTATCTGAAGGGGGGGTGCATCCCACCATCAACCTGCAGGCAGATAGAAAACACCTGATCTGATTAGTGCTCCAACTCACTGTGGCGTTTAACATCTCACAAGTATTTTATAAGATCAAACTAATTAGGGTATGACTGTAAAGCAAGAGTAAAAAAACACCAAACAAGTCTTCTAATCAGAGAAGCAGCAGCAAGAGGTCCTTTGTTACTTTGGAGGAGCTGCAGATGTTAGGCATCTTGGTAAAGACTTTTCACTTCTTTGAGGATTCAAAGAAGAAAACCAATGATAAAAAGGACATATGAAGTTTTTTAGGCAGCCATGAAGGGTAAAAGGCAAACATCTGTAAGATGGTGCAGCATGAAGTTTGCTCCTGGTGGTGGAAAACTAACCCTCCAAAGCCTCCCTAACGAGCTCTCTATGGTGAAGTTTTTAATGAGTTCATGAAAGATTGAGTTAAACTGGACGATCCTGAAGGAAAACCATGTAGAGGCTTAATAATTCTGCTGAATGCCAACCTTTGTCAGAGGGAGGAAAAAAAGAAAAAAAAAAGTAGATTCGCTGTTCTGGTTAGTATCACTGCGAGTCAGCACCTTCTTGACCTGGGTCACCATTTGCCTGTTTTTACTGTATTTCCTAAATCAGTTCATTGTGGATAAAGCTGTCCGGTGTGAGCAGATTTACTCCTGCCAGGTCAGACTGACACACTTGGAGGAAGCTGCATTCTAGACATCTAACTCTGATAGAGGTCTCTCCCCCACACACAATGTAGACCCCCCTTCAGATATCTGATGCTGAAGGTCTGGTTTATCTTCTGTGTGTTTTATGACATCCTCTGCTTTACGAGGGGTTCATAAGACACTCTGAGCAGGGTAAGCATAGTCCTGGAATGAAATTTCTTTCAGATCAGATTGAACGTGATTAATCTGCAGACTGACATGTTTACATTTTTGATCTGATCAGGCCTTCAATTTGATTATTTTTCTCCAATGTTAACCTGTCGCTACTGATTATTTCCCGAACACTCATGTATCAAATGAAACGCTGCCTTAAACTCTTTACCTGAATACATTCAATTTAACTTTTATCTTCCATTTATACCTTAAAGCAAAGAAACATGTGAATCCCAATTGGGGAAATTCAAAAGCAGCAACGACCATTCATCCTCCATGCTGAAGGTTTGAACGCCAATATTCCCTATACTCACAGGAAAAAGGACACACGCTGTGGAAAAGAGATGCAGGGTCAGAGGTCAGTCCTGGCAAAAGTCCAACCACTGGAGAGCAGAAAGAAACCTATGAGGGAGATCTTTAACTTCCTTGGTTTACAGTGACTGCTGTCTTTTCGTTTAAAGGGCTGGTTATCCTCCCGCAGCAGTGTGTCGCAGTGAGCTTGTCGATATTTTTGATTTATGCCGAATTTTGAAGTGTGGTCTGATCATTTTCAAACAGGAACTGGACTCTGTTCAGTTCATTTCATTTTCTGGATCTTATACTGGCACTTCTCCTTCAAAGATGCATTTATGATTCCTGAATGAGTAGACCTGGGAATGCATGTCTCCCCTGCTCAACTCTCAGACTTTCCCTTTGTCCTCTTCCCTTTTCATACATTTACCAAGTTTAAACCTAGGAGTGGCTCCTAGTAATGAATAATCCCTGCCATCCGCAGTAAATACCACTGGGATTAATGCTCAGACAGCATATGTAAAATCTCTGGATTAGGATTAGCATGTGTGAACAGCCGGGTCTTTAGGATTTAGCCGATTAGCTGTAGTGTGCTAAATATGCCTCGGGTCAATTAGGGTTAAAGTCGGCAGGAGGATTCAACAGAGACGTAAAAAAAAAAAAAAACAGCCAGAGCAGCAGTGAGATCGTTTGATCAGGGCCAGTAATCCAGATCCAACACATGGTAACAGTTTGATGCATCCCTGCTTCAACAAACGTGGATCAAGAGGCTGAACTCCATCAGCATTTAGTCTGGGATGCATTTTAATGCCGAATTTTCACAGACTCCAACCCACCAATTTCCAAGCATTTTCATTACTGCATAATAAGCACCAGAACTGGATTTTTTCTGCCCCACTCAGCTGAAGGTTCAGAGACAAGTTGGAAACACAAAACATTCTGAATGGAATATCAATCTGAACAAAAAGAGAAAGCCTTTTCAAGTTCTCTCTACTTTGTGTTTTTCAAATCACATTGTTGAAAAATGTATATAAATATTGTTATTCAACCTAATGATCATGATCCATAGTGTGGTTTACAAAGAACAACAGGCTCCTATAGAAACTGGTTATAATGAAACAGCCTTTCTCACAATAGATCCTGCTGCAGTGGGTGGAGTTCAGATTGAGATTTTAACTTCAGCAGGCAGCATTTATGTGTAGATCCTAAGCAGCTGCAGGATTATATTACCTCATTACTCTGTGCACTTTTAGCAAAGGACATATTTACATGCTAATCTGAAATAAAAAAGTCTTAATGGTTTGATTCACAAGAAAATAAATTTAATATACAAGCATGCAAAAAGTGAAGATAGATTTAAAACTCACACCAAAGCTATCAGCCTAATTTAACTATACAATCAATGATGCATTTAAAGAGATTGTATACCTTAAAGGAAGATGACCTCCGTCTCCGTCTGATGGAGGACCTCTGAGCTGATGAACCAAGTTCTGACCAGGAAACTATGAAGAAACATGCAGAACAGTAAGGCCTTATCTCTTGGGATTTGAGCTTGGATAATCAGAGGGAAAGGTCAGGAAAGACAAAACAAACAAAAAAACATTTAATTGTATCCCCTCTCCTGCACCCATTCATTTTATTTATTTAATTCATTTATTATGTGCCTTGTGGAGTTTAGGAGGAGGCTTAGACTCTTGCAAAACAATGTTCAAATCCGTTTAACCTCAGACAGAGATAGAGCTCTGACTGGGGTAAACTCTGTACATTTGTACAATACCTCCCCACACACACTCCCTTGGAACCATCCCACTCCTACATAAAGAACTCTCACACACAAACATGTGGAGAGAAAAAAAAAAAAAGTAAATTCATCAAGGCGATTCCCCATTAGCTTTAATATATCTTTCACTGGCTAGATGGATCTTCTCAAAACAGTCCTCCCCTTCTTGCCATGAAGTAACTCATTCTTATCTCTCATGACCTTTGTTTGGAGCCTGAGGCTAAGAACAGACATACTTCAAAATTTTTCACTCCACAGCCTCTTTGTTAGTTAAATCGATTAAGATTACTTTTAATTTTTTTCACCAGGTGTGTTTAAAAACAGTTTTTGCAGCTGCCACACCTCAAAATTCAGTCTGTCAGATTTCGGCAAAAAGACAGCAGCTTTTGCCGTAAGTAGCCTTTGGACTCTGGAAGATTGAGCCTAAATGTCCATCAAAGGTCCTGATTTCATTGCAACTGTGAAAACCCTGAGCCACTTGGATCCTTGATGAAACGCCCACCTCAATCATCTGAAAGGTGGAAACAGTCCAGCACTTCCTCTCCAATGCTTATGCACTGTAAAAACCATCTAGAAATAAGTAAAAATGTCTTAAACTAAATGTACTTACCCTTAATTTGAGTAGATGCATGATTATTTGCCAATGTAATTAGTATTTTTACTCTTAAAATAAGATATTTAGATAAAATGCAGTTGAAATAAGAAAATTCAATTGTGTTTTCTAATTTTAAATGTAAACCGTCTTGTTCCATTGGCAAAATGTCTCTTACCTTCTCAATTCAAGAACAAATGCACTTATTTAAAAAAAAAATGATTTCTAGATTTTGATTTTTTTTTTCAGTGTGTGAGATCATTTAATCATCTTAAATTGAAGGGGCGGTTTAATACAATGGAAGAACCGACTTCCCCTGCAGTTACTTTATGCCTGGTCACTGGCCGCTAAGCAGCCTGCCTTTTTAGCTGACCTTTTGTGACTCACCTGCCTTGTTTGGGTATCAGTGATGTATGAAAAAAAAAAAAAAAAAAAGTGTTCTGAGCAACCGATTCAGTGCATGTCAATAAATTCTAACATAAAAACATCAAATTTAGATCTATAATTTGTGAAAAACCAGATCCCCAGAAAGGCCCCTTACTTGTTTGTTAGTGCAGCCTTCTAAGGGAACAAGGTAGACATCTGGGTTGGAGGAAAGCTTCTGCAGCACACAGGAAACCATCCTGTCCTCAGAGGAAGGAGCAGGTGGAGCCACTGGAGGAGTCATCATGGAGTCAGGTACAGTAAAGACGACATGTCCTGCTTGGCCATCTGTTGACCCAGATAAAGGTTATTGCTGAAATGCAGCATCTTTCAAGAGCATAAACCCACATCATCATTTATTATGAAACATGAACCATCTGATTAATTCAACATTAAGGTGAGGAATGATTGCCAACATTTTATTTTTAGAAAGAATGAAACTGGTCAGAATCCTATATAGTGGAAGGTCACACTAGATCTTAACTAAAGAACATTTTGTATTACTATGCATCTTTTTCCTCTTTGATAAACTGCTAGAAATCATTGTTTTGATGTCAGGCTTTAAATATAACTGCTAATGTTTCCCGGCCATTGAAGACATGTTTTAACGTGAATGTAACATTTTACGGCGGCTTCCTTTTATTTCCTTTTTCGTTGTTTGAAAATTGTACATTGCGTTGTTTATCATCTTACATCAGTGTGAGATAAGGAGGTGGAAGAATTTTTTTCTTTTTGTGAAAACACAAAACTAATACAAATGTTTAAATAAAAGAAACTGCAATGAGTCTGTGGAGCAGCCAAAAATAAAATAAAATAAATAAATAAAAAAACAGTGCAGTAAATGTCTGAAATGTCTAAGATAACAGAGTGAGGCAGAGTTTGGATCAGTCATGAGCTGATCTGAGCACATAATTGAAAGCAAAGCAGGTGATATTAGAATTTTACTTTCTGCCTATGGTTGGTAATGATAAATAAGGGCTCCAGGATGTGGAAACTAACATGTCAGAGGTATTGATTTTTAGGCTGATATTTGATCCGGTTTTGTACATCTTTATACTGAGTTTTAGCTTTATTTACAGGATTAGTAAAAATCACTAAACTGGAAATGTAAGATGTAAAGAGAGTAAAATCTTTAAGACTAAAGAGATACGACCCTAAAATCAAGCCAAATATTACAGCACCTAATGGCAACTTAGTTTTAAGAAAGGTAATTAAAACTGTAATTACAAACCTCCCCTTTTCCCAGAAGGAAATAACATTTGAGTGAATTATATTTTATTATTGTTGCTTACAGATAACAGGTTTTGTGAATGGAAATTTGGAAAAAAAAAAATTAAAAAAAAGCATTCCAGATGTTAAACTTTAAGGGGAGAAATAAAAAAGGGAACTTTTAGGGCTTAATATTTTTGTTCATTTTTGCACTTTCTATATTTTCAGATTTATTCTTTTCCCCCCAATTTCTCCTTTTCAAACATCACCTTCTTCAGCTCTAATGCAAACTGGCTTTAAAAATGTATGCAGGTCCATAGAAAAGATCTGCATACATTTTTAAAGCCAGGGGAGGTATTCCTCCCCATAGAGGAACACTTTCCACCCCAGAAGACAAGTTGACGTAGAAAATACCATTCTAAAAGAATACCATCCTTAATATTAAATTTGAAAAAAATAAAATCTGAAAAATTACATACATACTTGTATGATGGTTAGCATTAAGTTCTTCCCTCATCTGATCTTTGCAAATGGCTGCAGAACTGCACTCAGTAAAGTCATCTGTTTAACGGGCTTGTTTAAAATGCATCATATCCAGAGGATTTATTTTGTGCCTTGTATGAATTAAAGCTGAAGTCTGTAAGTTTTTAAAAATCACTTTTTTGTCATATTGGCTAAAACTGTCCCTATGCCCAGACAGCAGTACATGTGATATGTAACCTGTGAAAAAAACTGCTTCAATTGGTACCGCCTACTGCCTGTATTTCAATCTGGAAAGAATAATTCGGGACGAGTCAAAACAACCAATCACAGCCAGAGGAGCGTCTGATGGAGTGTCAATCACAGCTCACACACGCTGAATCCCGCCCCCCCCCTTCTGGTCGCATGCGGTAGCCGCGCAGATGCTGTGAGAGGGGTGGAGCTTGGAGGTGGGGCATGAGTGAAGCAGAGAGGGTGGGGGAGTGGAGTGAAACCTGTTTTTCCTTCAAATTTTCAGTCGAAGTCTGCTCTCTCCTCAATGTTACAGACTGCAGCTTTAATTGCCTAAAACTAAAATTATCCACTTTGTTTCTCTTCTTCCCTCAGTAACAACTTCCTATGAAGGAGTGTTGCTCCTTCTAAAATACTTCATCATGAAAGTCGGATTCCCAATGAGACCAAGTACCTCCCATGTAGCCATCCAGCTTCTCCTTAGCTCCATCTCTGCCACGCAGCCAAGAAATGTAGTTGAAATAAGCCTGATGAAATGCGTTGGACAGCGATGGATGAAGCCCCTCAGAAGCACGAGGAAGCCTCTGCAGTTCACTATGGTCCAAGTTTGAGGAAAGCAGAGATGAAGATCCTGGACTACGGAGCTCCTGGTAGTATCTGAGCAGCTGAGGCGAATGGTAGAGGTTGTAGTAACTGTAGGGGAACGTCAGTCTGCTGGGAATGCCGAGCGCTGGGTCAGAGGGAGCAGAACTAGTTTGGCGTTTGAAATGGGACGGTCGATGAGCCGACTCCGATGAAGTCTGAGCCAGATGGTGGTAGACGCCACGCAGAGCGTCAGGTGCATAATACCTCAGGTAGTAGTTATAGTAGGGATGATAGTAGTACTTATAGGGATCTGCATTAACCATAAATCCAGGAGTGGGGAAAACTGGTCTGTCAGGAGGAACAGCGACGGGATCTGGAGACTGGTTAGTCCCAGAGGTAGGATGCTTGTCTTCTTCGTCCTGCAGCTCTTTATTACTTTTGTTGGGGTAAACAAAGAGTTTTCCAGGATTTGAGCGTAAAGCAAAAAAACCTGGAGGAGCTGAGGACATATTTGCCTTTGTGGCCCAGTTGAAATGGAACAGCCCCGGTTGTTTATCTTTAGCATTATGTGGGTAGTAGTAAAGATAGAAGGGAAAAGGCGGATGAACTGCTGTGGCGCTGTAGCCCGTTTCCTTGGTTACAGGTGCAGAGATCTGGTTTGTGACCTCAGATATCTGGGTATCAGGGAGCATGGATGGAAGCGGATAGTTAAAGGAGTCAGAAGGGGTTGGGGATCCAGAAACACCAGGAGCCGGGCCCTGAGACGGCCCAGGAAGAGGGATTTTGGGGTGATGGTAGTAGTGGTAGTATGAGCTAAAATCATTGTTTGGATCTTGGAAGCCAGGAGCTTCAACCTGAACCGGCAGAGCTGTAGGAACAACGCTGTTCTCTGAGAGATCCGAGACTGGAGCCACACGATTCTCCATTAGATCTGGAAGAAATGAACCTGGGCTGTCCGACTGAGCTTCAGATGGCCGAGGCTTTGGGGTCATGAAGTGTGCATATGCATCCTTCAGAGAAATATGTTGGTAGTAATGGGGATGAGGGTCTAACTGAGACCTAAAATCCACCTTAGGAGTCACCGAGTGAGGAGTAGGAGGGCTGGACGAGTCCTGCTCTCTATATTGGGAATAACCACGATGATATGTTGGGTGAGGATAGAAAGGTGGAGCCAAGTAGAAAGGTGGCATGAACAGTAAAGGCCCCAGCAGCTTTCTGTGGGATTCAGAGGGTTCATCAGCCTGAGGCTCCTGGGCGACAACTTCAGAGGCAGGGTTAGGACAAGCCAACATGAAGATCTCCTGGCCCATTTTAAGCAGGAGTGTCATTTTTCCATCCTGAAACACAATTCAGTGTAGGGTTAAAAAAAATAAAAGGGAAAGAGCTAAATTTTGTCAGAAAGGACTAAAAACAAAATAAAATCAGAAAGATTATTTAATAATGAGTTAAACCCCACAGTTTCTATTTAAACAAAGATTGTTAATTTAGAACAAAAAAACTGTCTATCAAAAAAACAAAACAGAACAATAATTGAGCTACTGCTAAAATACAACACACACAGATTTCAGAATTTATATCAAAACACAAATAAATCTCACCGGTAAAGGAGAAAACCTTTCGCATCCAATAAGGATGGAGGCTTTCTGCACAAAATCATTTCTGCTGCTCATGGGTAGAGAGCTCATTATCAGTGTCAGGTACTCAAATATGAGATGCAGATCATGCTATCAAATCAATGAAGTCAGCCTTAGCTTCAGCTGTCGATGAAACCAAAAACCTACAGCATCTCAGCTACCTGGAGCCAAGGTAAATGTTTAACGTGTCAGAGAATATCAACTAAACTCTGCTCATATCAGCCCTCTGCATCTACTGAAATCTAAGTACATGTACTTTTAACTGAGGTCATTTAGTATCAGTGCTTCCTACTCACAGGTATAACAGTTAGTTGGGCTATCTGCTGCTGCAGCATGAACTCAGCTGCACTACAAATACGCGGCCTTTAGCTTCAACATTGCAGAATTAGAATCATTACAGTTACGGCATTTATTATTAATCTTAATTGTTTTCAGATCAAATGAGAGTTGTTCTGAGATGCCCATGATGCATCTTCAGAGGAGATTCAAACAGGAGGAGAACTTTTAACTGGCCACCTGAAATACATTTTCTCATGACTGGATACACCTGGCTATGAAGTTCAAATCTTCATTAAATTTTGTTGCGTTTTAGTAAATCAGTAAAAAGTTAAGGGCATTCAATAACATGATTAGGGAACCCACATTTTTGCACTTGTCTAATTTTGTTTTAATGCGTACTGCACATTTAATACTGAAATATTACTGCGTCCAGCAGTTATTTGATATATGAAAATGAAATAGCTGTTGCAAACACCCAAATATTTAGAAATAAAAGATTAATAGGGGTGCCCACAGTTTTTCATATGACTGTACTATCGCCATCACAAATAACTCTGATCTTAGCTTTTTTCAAAAAAAATTTCCTTTGGTGATTGTTTTCCACTGGAACTTCAATTTATTTATTTAAGTGAACTTTTCCACTGTGAGGAACCAAACCAGGCTAGTCTGGCTTTGATTTGGACCCACAGGTCTCCACACACAGCAGGTATAGACTCATAAACTAGAATCAGGAAGTAAGGAAGGTTAATAGGGGCAGAGCCGTGTTATTCTATGCTGCATAAAGATCAATATAGCATCTCTTTAGCAAGAACTCAAATGGTTTAAAAAAAAAAAAGTGTTGCTTGAAAGTTTTAGCACTTTGGAAGAGCTTCATCGTCAGTTCTGTACCTTGATACCAGTAAATATCTTGTACCCAGTCCAAATGTTTACATTTCACCTTTACTGTTACACCACAAGTAATAAATGGGATGGAGATTATCGTCTCTGCAGCTCGTTGGTCCAAAGTGTAACCGCACTGATCAGCCAACAGCTCCAGAGGCATCCATTCACCCTTCACTGCAGGGGAGAGAGAGAGAGAGAGAAACCAAAAGATAAAAAGAAGATGCTCGTTTTAAGTTCTGGCTGATTCAAAAGAAAGATGACCTTTTATATGCAGGTCCTTTGTTGCAGACAGTCCTTCAAGTTTCACAGTCATGCTGTTTGGGAAGCAGCAGAGGGAAGATGCGTCCATGCTTCCAGGGCCGACCTGAGAGACCGGGCATGAAACCCTGATGGGGAGCCCCCTCCACAGCAGAGGCAACACATAGCCATCCTCCTGAGGACAAGAATTCACACTACACTTCAAATCATTTAAAATAGTCATTGCATTTCACTGGAAAGAATATATCCAAAAAAATAAATAAATCCACCATCAGAACAAACCCCCATCACACATTGATCAGTGAAGCAGAACTGAGTGATTCAGCTCAGCACCGTTTGAATGCAGTCAAAGCTTTAGTGTAATACTAAAAGAAACAGAAACTAGGACTGGAAGAGGATAAAAAAAATATTTTACCTCATGGATAACATGACAGGCATCATATTGAGCCGCCAGGATGAGGTCTTTCCATGAGCTTCGTACTGAGTAACCACACTGAGGAGGGAGCTGGACCAGAGGCACCGATGAGCCATTCACTAGAAGGTAATCATTTTCATCCGAACACAAGTTTAATCCAAAAATTGGACACTTTATTTCAAGTTTAAATTCAACTTTCAGCTTTCCACAAAACCAAAATGTTCTGCATCGTCTCTTTTCCACCAACTAAGGTTTCTTGAAGGTCACTCAGACCAACCTTTCAAAGACAATTATGATCACAATAGAATTGAGAAATATTTCTGAAGACTTTTCATAAAAAAGGAACTTAAAAATTATTTTTAATGCTTTAACTTCCTTTTCCCTAAACTATGGTAATGCATTTAAAGGCCCCTTAAATAACAGCAAAAAACAAACAAAAAAAAGGTCCATAACTTCTGCATTGGTTATTAGTTCACTTTAAAATCTTAACTTTCAGAGAAATGCATGTTAAACTGCTATAGTACAGAAACAAGGCCCCAAACCCAAACCTTCAGAGTTCCTCCATTTTTAAATCATATTCTAATAAATATTTATTCATTAATGCCATTTTGTGAAGCACTTTGTGATTTTGAATGAGACGCATAATGAAGAGGACATTTCCTTAAGCTAAGAGAACTGAGGAAGTGTAGAAAGCTGAAATCCTAATAGTCATCTCAGCGTTCATAATAATTTCAATATTATGTCTTAACTTCCTGATGATGGCAGCCTGACTTCAGATTGTTACAAAGCTGCTTCCTGCAAAGAGGCAGTCATGGTGGCACACAGCTAGAAAACATAACCAAGCTTGACAGGGATGGAGGCTACAGATGATGGTTAATAAAAAAAGCTAAAGGTCATCCTCAAGCATCCGGTCATTTTGTGACAAACCCCCCCAAATTTTTTTTTATTTTTATTTTTTTTAGACAGACTAATAGCAGCTACATAAATGCCCATTTAAAGCTGATGCAAGGAGAAAGAAGAGTTTAAACGTTTTTTTGTACCATCTATCAGAACTTAAAGGAACAGAACTTTTCCTTTAGTTATGCTACCCCCTAGTGGCCACCTCAAATATCTACCTCCGTTTCTGCCAAATATTTTCATTTCAATTCAGAAGCACTACACTAAACATTCTAATTTACACCAGCATAAGAATACTATAATGACTGATGTTTCAATGGGTCTGCAAAATTAAATCAAACCATTATATATCAACACATCTCTTTCATGGGGAATGAAATAGACTTGAAGATCAGATGCAGGGTAGGAGGTTCCCCGGAAATGGAGCATGCCAAGCAATCAGGGCCTGACCTCACCTGGGTCCAGCCATAACTGTAAGGCTGGTTTCCTCCTGACGGTCAGGGTCATGGCATCGTCTTCACACTCCACTGAAGGCTCCAGCTTCTGCCAGCTCTCCTCAGATCCACTGACGGGCTCACCAGCCATGCTCATCTCTCCATCCTCAGCCTGGACTGGGATGCAAAACACATCTTTAATAAGCTTGGATGAAACGCTTGGATGGGGAAGGAGGGGGTGATGGGAAGAGGAGGAGAGGCGCAATATTCTTCTCACTGTGTAGTAACACAGGCCAACTACTGTGTAGCCAGAGTAATGTTTATTTATATGGTTAGTTCATTTCTGCAGAGCTATAATCCAAGAAAACTACTGTGTAGTCTTAGCTTTCTACTGTGCAGATTTTTATATCTAAAGGAAACATTCCAGGACATTATGCTTTTTTTGTACTATATACACTTTTTATATTGTCTGTTGTATTTTTTATCATTAATGGAATCTTGCTTTAACTCTTTGTACTCTACAGTATATAAGCAACTGGAACCAGAATTTCCGTGAAGAAGTAATCCCAAGGGTTAAAGAAATTTGAGTCCAAGTCTAAAACAAAGCAGGAATCTCCACCAATAAAGATTTGACTGCCATACCTTGGGAAAAAAATGTAAAAAATAAAAAAATTATAAAAAATCTTATGGAAACCTTACATAAGGTGGTGGTGGGGGGGGGGGGGGGGGGGTGGCGCAGCATGTTTTCATTAGAGAAAAAGCATGAGAAAAAACAAAACAGGGCAATAGTTTAATATTTAGAAGATAAAGTGAGAAAAAGCCACTTGCAGCTCTGCACTGGATTAAAGCTACAGTGTGTAATAATTACAGGGATATAAAGTCAGAAATTTAATATATTATACATAACTATGTTATTTATCATCACCTATGAGCTCAGCCATTTAACCATAATATTTGCGTTGCCTTAGAATTCGTTATTTATAATTACATAGGAGCGGGTCTCGCAGCCATGGAGGCTGACATCTTTGTGCTACGGCAAGCGCAGAGGCAACAAACTAGCGATTGCGAGATCGCCCATTACGCTCGAAAATAACTACGGCAAGTTGAGAGAGATGAACTGAGACGGTACTGAACAGTAGATGGCAGTACTATGCCTGAGAAGCGTTTAGTCTGCCTGAAACCAAAGAAGAAGAAGAAGCAGGTATACTGCGCCTCAGTAACAAGAAAGGTGAACAAGGCGGCAGGCGTGAGTGACTTTGCAAACTGTTTGGCACTGTGTGGCCAAACATCAGACGAATGGAGGATCATGCCTACTCTGTATCACAACGAAAAGCGGCGGGCACCGAACCCCCGTCATCTAAGAAGCGGAAACACGACGAGAATAAACGCAAGCGTGACAAGAAACGACAAAAAACACGGATCAACATTGGCACGGCATTTACACGATGGAAGTCACTGATGGAGGAAAAAGGTTTTCAAAGTGACGCTCAAGTTGCCAGTTTTCTCTTGGACAGGTAATTAATCCTACACACACAATTGTCTAATATCACTGCAGTTTTTGGAGTACAGAATGCTCAGACCTGTCTAAAACAATAACATGCTGCGTGATGGTGCTGTTACTCTCCAGTATACTTATTCAGCAACGTCCCTGACGTTTCACAGGTAATGATTCAGTAATTTTCTGTAAAATAATTTTCTGGATATATACCTCGGTTACTTCTCTCCGGCTCCTTTGGAGATCTTCAAGCCTTTCTTCCTCTGCTCTCACCCCGCTGGCTCCCCTCCCTCGCCTGGCCCTAGCTGCACGCCCACCCCGGCCTCTCTGTCCTCGCCCTCTTCCTCGCCTTGTAACCCCCGTGCCACAAACAAGACTTGGACTCTGTAAACGGGGAATATATATTCTTCCAGCGAACACAATCTTGCTGTTAAACTAATGACTACAATTCCTTCGTCTGTTTATATCACCATGCAAAGCAGCTCACAAAAACGTCACAACGATGTAGAAAAAATAACGGGTATATTTATTATCTAAAGTCTACATGAAATCTATACCCTATACAGACTAATGAAATACTATCTGTAAAATTATCTATGTAAACAAACCTCATCACTTGAGAAGGTAGGTGATTCCGACGTCGTGGAAGACATTTTGTCCCCTAACGCTTGCCGTACTGTTGGGGGGGAGAAGCGGTGGGGGGGAGACGTTCATTTTGCTGCAGTCTGCAGTCTGGACGTTAGATGTCGCTGAAAATTACACACTGTAGCTTTAAGTGAAATTCCCATATAATTTAGTTTGATTAAAATTTGAGGTTTCAGTTGAACATTTAATTTTGGCCTGAATGTGTTAATTTATTTATCCAATATAAAATTAAAACCTTAGTGTTGCATGTCTGCTCACATTTGTCAGTGAATGGGACTTAATCAGTTAGCAATTTGATGGCCAGTGAAGAAATGTTATGAGAAAGCTGCTATAACAATAAATCGTTACTGTTGAATGACCAAAACATTTAATTAAATCAAACTTTTGAAAAAGTCAGATATTTGACTTTGAGGGCTGTAGAGACAGACCTTTAAAAGAATTACATTGAAAGTTCTACCCATGATAAATAAAGTTGGACAAAAGGGAAATACGTTTTTAGTATGACACCCAGTCTTTGGAGTAAAGATAAGAATTGAAATAAAGCCGTTTCTTAGAATATTAAGTTAATGTATATTCATAATTCAGATATGTTACACATTCTTATTTATTTTAAAGGATAATGATCAGTCTTAATCTAATGAGAATTAGGAGAGAGTAGAACTTAAACAAAATTCTAATTTATTACAGCTAAATTGATCAAAGAATTACTTTTTTAACATTTTACTTGCCTTAGAAGAGATTGTTTTTAAAAGCTGGTCAAAATAACATTTAGCAGATAAACTGATGTTATCTCACTATGACTGAAGCATCTTCCTAATTTGTTAAGTCATGATTAAAACACAACAGTAAAGAAAAAAAACATATATAATGGATCTGAGGGATCCATCAGTCTGTTCCAGTACATCATGATCAGATAAGCATTTTATTTAAAATAAAAAATACTGCAATCTCTTATTTCAAGTGCATAATATTTTATGTTTCTTTAAGGATAAAAACATTCATTCCAATGGCAGATAATCTTATGTACCTCCTCAAATCCAGTGTGTTGTTCTCTCACCTGCAGACTGATGGCCTCCATGTTGGTGTTTGGCTTCCAGCTGAGCGCTGATGTAAAGTTTCCCAGGAACCACATGTCTGATGGTTCCTCCGCTGCAGTTCCCATCCAGAAGCTTCTGTGGAGTAGACGGCCTCTGGTGTGTTAAAGTTGGAGTAGACACCATTCTGACCGCTCTGTCCTGCTTTGACCCCTTTCCTGAGGGGTCACGGGTTTTAGGGTTGTGGCGTCCTGAGCTGCTGAGGCGTGACCAGCCTCTGATGGAGGGGGGGCTGGGGACTCTACGGCTGTTAGAAGGAGTTGGACCAGAGGTTGGTCGGAGGGAGTGAGCTGTGGGCTCACACCAGCCTACTGAAGATAGACTAATTGTAGATAAGGTGTAAAGAAGTGGAACACCAAAGCAGTAAGCTATCAGCTTTAAATGCATTGTCAATATGTTTCCTCTATGCAACAAAACACTGAGACAGACTGCAGAGCGGCTGGTTGATTTGTAGACATCCTGCAAACACACCTGCTCTCTAATTTGCACTAATTAAGGGCACATGCTCAGTATGGGTGAATAAGGACTTCAATCTAAAAGCTTTTTTAGCATTTTTGCTCAGTGATAGATTCACTACAGCAGATACACATCAAGCGTTCATTTGGTTCCAAACTAATCAAAATACAGTAATTATAAATAACTTCTCGGATTAAAATAATTGGTTTGACTAATAAAAAAATAGGATCTTTATAGCAAAGTCTCCACAGTCATTCAGCTTTTAGTCATGAAAACACCACCACTAAAGAAGCTGCCTTTACCCAACCGAATATATGGAAAATTCAGTGGAAGGAAAACATTTTAACAACTTCATTATGCTATTATTAATCTTAAAGCAGCATGTACAATATTTGAAAACCTTTTTACTACATAGAAACCACAGTTATCAATAGAAGTATAACATAAAAAACATGCTCTTAAAAGAGGACAAAATGCAACCTATCTATCTATCTATCTATCTATCTATCTATCTATCTATCTATCTATCTATCTATCTATCTATCTATCTATCTATCTATCTATCTATCTATCTTCGTACCTTTTTACATTTTTCATAGTTACAACAAAAAACTTCAGCAAATTTATCTAATTTTCATAAAGATTAACAATATATATATATATATATATATATATATATATATATATATATATATATATATATATATATATATATATATATATATATATATATATATAAAATATAATTGTAAGAAAATACATAGTTTCAAAACTTTTTTCATCAGAAACAAATTATAAAACTGATGTTTGTGGGATTTCAAGCAAAGAGTCTGTGTGTTTCAGTGTTTGTTCGTTGTTGTTCTTGATTATTTTTCTGTTCATCTATTCTGATTCCAAATGAAATTTAAATGAAAATAGATGTAGGTGAAGTCTAACATGTTGAGAAGTCTGGTATTTTCGGACATTATTTTAACCAATAATTCTGTTTCTGACTGGAAGTGTTAGCATAATACAAAGATTTTAAGAAATTATCAATGCATTTTATGTTAATCAACAAAAAAAAAAAAAAACGTTTTGCTACATTACAGCATTCAAGCACTAAATCATAAATGAAAATCAAGTGACATAAATACTTTTCTGTCCTTGATTAAAATACTTTTTGCCTGCACACCTTTGTCCACTAGAGGGCGACATCGCGTTTCTTTAGATTAATGGATCTGTTTGTTCACAGACTTCAATTATCCTCACTGTACAGGTAAATTGACCTTTGCCCCTAAATAATGCTTTCAGACTGAGCAAGCAGTTCTTTAAATTCCATCTCAAAGCTTATTTTATTATTGAAACACAAAAATATAAATATAAAAACAGCTTTAAAAACTTTCATTACCATGAATGCATATTTTTTATAATTTCCTAAATGTCTTTATTATGACAAGAATACAATATTAAGAGATAGAATAGAATAAAATAGAATATAAATCCCTTTTATTTTCACAAAGCAACAGGCATTATTGTAAAAGGGTCACACAAGTCAAAACATTAAAATCAAAAATAAAGGAATTAACTAAAGCAGGTTAACAATAAAAATATAAATACTGTACAGGAAGAGCAAAAATAAAGTTCTTAATATAAATACTGTGTAAGCACTAAAAAAGAATGAATTACCAAAATATACAAGTGTGGAAATAGCAGCAACAGCAGAGATGTGCAAAATGACAGCAGCATGTTATTTAAAGTGACTAAAAGAGGAACTATGCAAGAATCAGCATGAGCGTAAACACTTATTAAGCTTGTTGGCAGCAGGGATGGTTAGATGAGGAGCATGTTTGGTGCTACTTCTAAGCAGCACAGATATGAGTTTAGTTTCCAGAGTCAAACACACAGTTATCTAGTTTCAACCAGCACAGCCGCTTTGTCTAGCAGAAGGGGCAGATCCGTTGATGAAGGGCGCGGCAGCTGGATGAGTCATATTCAGAGTTGCCTAGCGACAGGAGTTGTTTTCTTCTGGCTCAGAGTGTGAGGACGGCGTGCGTGTCTGGATTTCATTGATAGAGGAAGGCTTTGTGTGAAATAAAAAGCAATGGGTCTGTCCTGGAAGCAGGAGGGGTAGAAGTGGAGGGAATCACGGGAGGAGACATTTAGATGTAGTAATATGAGCAAATCCAGGGAGGGACGTCCTCAGAAACAGAGGCCCTGGGTGATGACAGAAACCCCTTTAGTTGGTTTTCATGGCAACAAGTTGGCTCGCCTGAAGCTGGTTCTGTTCACTGTATGAGGAAACTACAGGTCCAACTTTAAAGACATCTGAATCTAATCAACCACTGTCTTTATTTGTGTTGAATTGACATTTAATGATGGTATTTTATTTGAGAAGAAAAAAGTAGAAAATACCTAAAAGGTTTTTTTCCATCCCTGTGTGAGATCAGTGAGATGCACATAGGGAGCAATGTTAGGTGAGAGTGGAAATTATTTCTTCTGCTGTGGTTCTTCAGATCAACAAATGTTTTATTATTATAAACAATTAGAAAGCAGCAGATTTAATCTATACTTTAATTTGGCAACTCTAAAACCATTGGTTTTGTCTTTATTTTAAGCAATGCAATGCAGATTTGCTGGTGTGCACAATTTACACGTCAAAGTGTAAAAACATCCATCCATTTTCTATCATGCTTATCCCTGCTGGGGTCGCTAGGGGTGCTGGTCTCTAGCTGTCTATGGGTGAGAGGCGGGGTACACCCTGGACAGGTCGCCAGTCTATTGCAGGGCAACACAGAGACAAACAGGACTAACAACCATTCATGCACATACCTAAGGAGAATTTAGAGAAGCCAATTAACCTAACAGTCATGTTTTTGGACTGTGGGAGGAAGCTGGAGTACCCGAAGAGAACCCCCGCATGCACAGGGAGAACATGCATACTCCATGCAGAAAGAACGAGTGCTGGAAATTGAACCCCAAACCCTCTTGCTGCAAGGCAGCAGTGCTACCCACTGCTTCACTGTGCAGCCCCCAAACAGAGATAGGCTATCTCACCTAAATATTCAACATTCAACAAAAGAAAAATAAGTATTTCATAAAAAAAGACAAGAAGTAAAATTTATAGAGTGAAAAAAATTGAAAAAAGGAGAGCTATATACATATATACACTTAAAAATACATATAGAAATATTTACCCATCGGATCTGGGTTACTAAATATTCCCACGCGGGCAGAAATGTTTACTAAGGAGCAGCTTTTTCAGGGCTTTTCTTCAAATTGCATCAGTGAAAACTCTGAAAAAATGAGTTTGTAGATTATTCCTTATTTTGGGTCGTCTGTAAAGAATACTGAACATAAATTGACTAGAACGAGCAAAGAAGAAATGCCACGATAAGACAACTACTACAGGTGGAGTGTTGGTGAAGGAAAAAAATATTGAGATATTGAAATAAATTGAAATATTTAGGTTTTAAATTATCACTTTTCCCTCTAAAACTAGTTAGAACTAGTTTGACTACCTGTCTACAGTAAAGGCAGTCACCACGAACCGTGAGTTTATCAACCAAGGAATCAGCTACTGCTCTCAAATCAGCCTCCTTCTGTTATATAGGTCGATGAGACAAAGATCATGTCCTAAATTAGAAGTGGAGGTAAGACAAGGCAAGGCAAGCTCTCCTTGCCTTGTCTTGTATAAGTTTGTATAGTACAATTCAGTACAAAGACAATTCCAAGGGCTTTACATGAATTAAACTGTGAAATAGAATGTAAATAAAAGCAAGTTAAGGTAAAACCAAGATAAAATCTCTATTCTTCCACTCTGCAGAATCTGTTAGTTCAATCTCTAACGTTATGTTCTCTTCCTTTTCACATAGTAGCTTTGCCTCGTCTGTTCCTGTTTGGCTGTGACACCATCCTGGAGAGAAACATCAGCTGTGCTGCTTCCATCAACACCTTTGTTTATAGATTTTGGAGACCGCCCTGTTTTTCCAGTGTAGTCCTGTTTCTCTAGCTGTGACTGGCTGGATGTGTTCCCTTCATCCTCTGAGATGGGAGTTGGCTCAGAGCTCGTCTGCCTGGCTGTGTGTTTCCTGGACTGGGCCGCCTTTTACAGCTGCCTTTTGTATCTCTGGTTCTTTCTATGTCTGCTTCTGTTTCCTTGAACCCCAGTCGGCCTCGGCAGATGGGCGCTCACACTGAGCCTGGTTCTGCTGGAGGTTCCTTCCTGTTAAAAGGGAGTTTTTCCTCTCCACTTTCGCTACAAGCATGCTTAGTGTGATGGATTACCTTCGAGTCAATGCAATCAACTGGTTTTCCTTAGAAAACTTTAAATCAATTTGACTGTATGATCTGGTGAACTGTAAAGTGCCTTGAAATGATGTGTTGTGAATTGGTGCTATATAAATAAACCGAATTGAATTGAATTGAAAAGCAGGTAGTGAAAAAAAAAATGAAACCTCATTTAACCGTTAACTTTTTACAGCCAAAGGCAGTTTTAAATAAACGTTTTTACTTTTACTAAAAAGAAAGTGAGACTGTCAGACCTGAAGACATTATTGCAGCTGTCAGGCATTGTAGTGGTAGCATCATGGTGAGGGCCTCCACTGTGGTAAGTGCTGCTGTTGCATCAGAAAACTTGGCTGTTGACATAAAGAATGATCACCTCCAAACCCAACTGTCTTCCCAAACACACGTCCCAGCTGCATGGATGAAGGATAAACTTCTCTTTATTAAGAATTTGGGGATCAGACCTTAAAGTCTTGCCTCTTTTACTTTAAAACAGATTTACTCCAGAGAGTTTCGAGATGCAACCAGATTGTTCCTGAGTTTTTTTTTTTAGGGTTTCCATTTTTTTTAAAACACACAAAAGATTTATTCAAATATTTATTCAAATATCAGTGTTTTTTATGGTTTTATGCAAAATTCTTTGTGTAACTAGATCTAATGACTCAATATTTACAAAGCAAGTTCATG